TATCCCAAAAAAGAGCCGGGTTTTTCACAATTGCAAACCGAGCCTGCAATACTCCGAAAGTCCGCTCCACATCTTTTCTGGTTGATTCTTGAACTTTAGCAAATAACTGTTCTTTAGGATGTTGAGGGAGTGAGATAGACTGGATAAATGTAGACCATTTTGGATATATACCGTCGGTGAGGTAGTACGCCAAATCATACTGGTGTCCGTTAACCACGTACCGGACTTTTGGAGCTCGACCTTGCAAAATGTCATCAAAAACAGGGGAACGATCGAGGACATTAATATCGTTTAAGGTACCTGGAGGACCAAAGAAAGCATGCCAAATCCAAAGATCGTATGAAGCTACTGCCTCTAAGACAATTGTTGGTTTTCCCGATCCACGTGTGTATTGTCCCTTCCATTCGGTTGGACAATTTTTCCACTCCCAATGCATACAGTCTATGCTTCCTACCATCCCAGGAAATCCGCGTTTCTCTCCAACATCGAGTAGTCGTTGAAGATCCTCCGCCGTGGGTTTTCGTAGATACTCTTCTCCAAATAATTGTATTATTCCGTATGTGAAATGATCTAGGCATGAAAGCGCGGTGCTCTCAGCAAGTCGAAGATACTCGTCAACCGTATCAGCGGCAGAACCATAAGCAAGCAGACGAATTGCAGCCGTTGTTTTTTGCAGTGGAGACAGACCATCCCTCCCGGTAGCATCTCTTCTCTGTTGAAAGAATGGATAGACTTCCGAGAGACGATGGACTATACGGATGAACAATTCCTTGTTCATGCGGAAACGACGTCTAAATAAATGTGCGGGAAATGTGGGATTGTCGCTGAAGTAGTCATTCCATAAACGAATGTTTCCTTCTTCACGGTTTCGTTCAATGTAAGCACGTTTCCCTTTCTTCTTGGTTGGACCGTGGGCTACTTCCTGGTATATATCTTCTAATACACCGTCCAAAACATCATCCAATCTATCTTCGAGGTCATCGGTTGAAGATGAAGACATTTTTGTATACTGTCCTTTAAAAAGAAAAAAAAACAAACGCATTATAACTATATTGTTTTTAATATTTTAATTTCATTTTATTTTTTGGTATTACATGTTATTGAACTTTTTTTTGGTATTACATGTTAATAAGAATGATATGATCTTTTTTTTGGTATTACATGTTAATAAGAATGATATTGAACTTTTTTTTGGTATTACATGTTAATAAGAATGAGTGTTAAAATCGGTATGAATAAGTTTATAACAATGAGTGATAAAATCTGAATGAAAAGATGATGCTTTCACAATGCTTTCACAAGTATGAGCTATAAGAAACAAGATTAGAAAAGATGATGCTATAAGATGGTTAAATCATTTCAAAACAGAATGAGAACAAGCATGAGTACTCGATTCAAACCTTGTACCAGAAGCAAATCGAATAGAAGGAGTAGTTAATATTACAAGCCGTGACAAGTTGTTAATGTTACAAGCCGGAGAAGGAGTAGCAGAGACAAGAAGTTTAATATTACAAGCCGGAGAAGCAGTAGCAGAGAGAAGAAGCTTAATGTTACAAGCCGATTGAAAACATGATAGTGAAACTAAAGGAGATAGCTAGCTAAACACATGCTAGAGAGATTCTTATACTAGTGAAAGTGAAAAAAGCAGAACCCGTGAGTAGAGTCACATCTGCTACACAACAAAAACACTTTCACATGTCCATGCATCCGTGAATGAAATACAGCTACACTACAAAGTCCTGCGACTGCACCTGCGAAATCAGACCACACATGTCTAAAGTTAATAAAGCAGAAGTCAAATCATAAAAAAAAATAAGTTCTAGTGTAACCAGAAATAACAAAACAAGTCTAACCACACAAGTCTAACAAAACAAGTCTAACAAAACAAGTCTAACCACAAGTCTAACCAAAAATCTAACCACAAGTCTAACCACAAGTCTAACCACAAGTCTAACCAAAAGTCTAAACGCAAGGCTAACCCAAGTTTACCTTAAACCGAACATTAAACATATCATATCATCTCAGTCATGAGTTTGAGTTTGAGAGATGTTTCAATCTCTGAGAGTGGCTCCTTTTTGGCCAGTAAGCGCTCAAGCAGTTTACTGTTTGCAATCTTTTCTTTCAGTTCGAACAAGATCTGTAACTGTGACAGATCTTCTTCTTTACCATTCTTCTTCTTCTTACCGGCTGCTTTAGCTGCTGCTTTAGCAGCCTTCACACCCGGTGGTCTAAGCTCTGGTTCTCCCACTTCCTCTTCACCGTCAACGGAGTGCACCTGCTTGCGCTTGTCCTTGGCCGCGTCCTTAGTTATATAGGTGGAACACCATTTGTTATCATGCCTTAACTCCCTCCAGGCGTGTTCCAAGCTAAACCTTATTTTGTGGTCGTTGAAGAAAAGATCCAGAGCTTCAGACATGATATTATTATCATTCTGACCACTTCTCAGAGTTCTCACTGCTGTATCATAACAGCCAACAAACTTGCAGACCTCACTGTTGATCCTTCCCCACCTCTGCTTGCACTGAACTACTTCTCTAGGAGGCGAGCCAGCCAGGACAGGGCTTGAGTTGAAATAGTCGACAATCCTCTTCCAGAAAGCAGGTGCTTTCTGCTCGTTGCCGACCACCGGGTCCTTACTAGTGTTCAGCCACGCACTAATCAGGACTTTATCCTCCGTTGGAGTCCACTTCCTTCTCTGATTGCCGGCAGACTCATCTTGGGTAGTGAACAAAGGAGGGTCGGGAGAATGAAGATCGACAGAGGATTGGCTGTTCAGTAGATTAACAAAACCAGAGGTGCTATCCATGGTGGGAGAAATAACTTTACTAAACACACAGAAGCTAATTCACTATAAGAAGACGCAGAAGCTTAATAGCATTGAACACCAGTCAACTCAGAGGAGTTAGGAAGGTGTAAAGCATTAAAAACCTATTAACTACGAGGAGTTGAAGGTAAAGCATTAAACACTCTACCCGTGTACACAGCCTATACACTATAACATTAAACACCTATCAAATCTCACCGGTTTAACAAATAAAAGTACTATCTTCTTTGATAAAATATCTACAATGACTCATTAAACACCTATCAAGTCTCACCAACAACCGAACCAGAAGTTAAACAACAACTGCAAACACCGAACGAGAAATTAAAATATCTAAAATTCTATTCTTAGTTTCGTTACATCTACCAATTCTATTTTTAGTTTAGTTACCTTCTAAAGGGCAGACCCTCGCCAATTCTGATCCACTCACATCTGCGCCTCTCCCTAAACACACATTTTGTAAAAGCAGTCAAAACTTCTAACATATTTGATTATTAGACTATGAACATCACAATGAATTAAACTCACCACCACCCACTGTGTGATGAAGACGAGTACACAGACTAGAACACAAACAGCCACTGGAATCCAATCTCTAACCCCTAATTTCCTCTTAGCTGACTCCGTGAATGTCTCCTCTAGCTGAACCACCTTTTGGCGACTCTCATTAAGTTGAACCTTAACCTCCCTGAGCTGTCTCTGAAAGTCAGTCAGCTCCTCCAGCACCGCCACATCATACCATTTCCACACATGGCAGTCTCCATCGTCAGCATTCTCACAGGTGAAGTAACGTCTCCCTGGATCTTTGCTTGTGTAAGATGTGGCAAGACAGAGGTCAGCACCACAGTAGCAACTCCTCGGGATTCCATCATCGGCTTCAGGTTGTGGATTGTAATGAAACGGCTCTGCAATGTTCTGCCTGCTCTCAGCTTCATCAGCGTAGATGGCAGCTTCTGCTTGAAGAAGAGAAGTAATATCTATGGACGACGCTTCTGATGATGAAGGCTGTGTGTAGCTGTAGTCTTGCCCCATATTTCCTTAACCTGAAAGAGATAAAGAAGTTATAGATTAGACATCAAAAGTCAAAAACAATCGTCCTTGTTCTAGTAAAGACTACGAACATTACCAATATAGAATCTGTAAATAAATTGCAACACTGAAGAAGTACACAACAATATAACAGATATATAAACCAAACAAATTTTTTCTAAAAATTATTCATACACCAATGAATCATAATGAATCAAAAACTCAATGAATCACAGAGTCCCCTACACGTAGAAATGATGTAAGAGAACAAGATGTCGCGGTCAAACCCTTCTCGATTCGAACTCAAATCGATTTGAAACCCTATCGAATCGAAACCCTTATGGATTCAAACTCAAATCCTTAACATATACCAAATAGCTTGACTCTTTCTTAAAAGGAGAAGAAGGTAAACCCAAATCATTCGACTCTTTGAACTAGAAACAATAAATCCCCAAATCTTTTCCAAACCCTAATCGGAAACTTTAGCGACTCGATTGATAACCCTAAACAGAAGATTAAACGCGAAGAAGAGAAGCTGAAACCGATATAAATCCAAAGATCAAACAATAAAAGGCTTCGATTTACCTTGCTTATACAGAGAGCTCAAATCGCAACTTTCGTCGCCCAGAAGTTTTTTTTTTTTCGTATCGGGATGGAAAGGCTTTTTTTTTCTCCCCACGTGGTTTACCCTTTCACCCAATCCACTCACAATCTGCCACGTCGCCACGGATTCGATCCGTAAATCCCTTCATTACGGATTGATCCTTCCCAAACTAACCATTATTATCTATTTTTTAATCTAATTCACCTATGTTATCCCGCTAAGGATTTGTATAATACTCCCGTTGGAGATGCCCTAACCGCATCTCTTTGACAAATCAACACTCTTCATACGTTACCCTTTTTTGTATAAAATCATTTATTATTAATTTTTGTAAATACCACCCAAAAAAGTCAAATCTAAATACGTTCCTCGTTCGTTCTATAAACGCCATACATTAATGAATAAGTACAGCTATCCAAAAGGAGTTACAAATATTTGTATTTCCCGTGTGTTGACTTTTGTAATAATTCTGAATATTTCTCCAAATCCTTTATATTTAAACCCCATCCCTCCTCTCTCTCTCTTCTTGCTAACTTATTCAAACCAAATTCACATCTCCTAAATCTCAACTACTACACTTTGAAGCAAAACTTTCATTTCTTGATATTCTTTTTAGTCGATTTATTCATCAATTTTTTTCCTTGTTTGTCATATTTTCTGGCGAGTAAAATGGATCAAGAGATAGAGATTCCTTCTTATTTTCTATGTCCGATCTCTCTAGATATCATGAAGGACCCGGTGATAGTTTCCACCGGAATAACCTACGACAGAGACAGCATCGAGAAGTGGCTCTTCACCGGTAAGAAAAACTCATGTCCGGTCACAAAACAAGTCATAACCGAAACTGATCTCACACCAAACCATATTCTTCGCCGTCTGATCCAATCTTGGTGTACTCTCAACGCATCCCACGGCATCGAGAGGATCCCAACCCCAAAACCTCCTATCTCTAAATCAGAGATCGAAAAGGTCATCAAAGATTCTTCATCTTCACATCAAAACCAAGTCAAATGCCTCAAACGACTTCGTCAAATAGTATCCGAGAATACAGCGAACAAGAGGTGCTTAGAAGCTGCAAAAGTTCCAGAGTTCTTGGCCAGTATTGTCAGCAACTCGGTAGATAGTTACAACTCTCCTTCTCCTTCACTTTCTTCGTCGAATCTCAATGATCTTTGTCAGTCAAACATGTTAGAGAATAGATTTGATTCGTCGAGGAGCTTAATGGACGAGGCTTTAAGCTTACTCTATCATCTCGACACATCGGAGATGGCCCGCAAGAGTCTTTTAAACAACAAGAAGGGAACAAATCTTGTGAAAACGTTGACTAGGATTATGCAACGTGGGATCTACGAGTCAAGAGCCTATGCTACTTTGCTTCTCAAGAAGATTCTTGAAGTTGCGGATCCAATGCAGATCATATTGTTGGAACGTGAGCTTTTCAACGAGGTGGTTCAGATCTTGCATGACCAGATCTCTCACAAGGCAACGAAATCAGCAATGCAGATCTTGGTGATTATATGTCCATGGGGAAGGAATAGACACAAAGCTGTGGAGGCTGGAGCGATCTCGATGATTGTTGAGCTTTTAATGGATGAGACTTTCTCATCTGAGAGAAGGACTTTGGAGATGGCTATGGTGGTTCTTGATATGTTATGTCAGTGCGCAGAAGGAAGAGCTGAGTTCTTGAATCATGGTGCGGCTATTGCGGTTGTGTCCAAGAAGATACTTAGGGTCTCTCAGATTACTAGTGAAAGGGCTGTTAGGGTTTTGCTTTCTATTGGGAGGTTTTGTGCGACGCCGGTTTTATTACAGGAGATGTTGCAACTAGGAGTTGTAGCTAAGATGTGTCTGGTGCTACAAGTGAGTTGTGGGAGCAAGACTAAAGAAAAGGCAAAAGAATTGCTTAAGCTTCACGCTAGGGTATGGAGGGAGTCACCTTGTGTCCCAAGAAACTTGTATGCTTCGTATCCTGCTTGAACAGCAAGATAGAAGAACCTACTTATATGTTTGATTAATTCTCATCAGATACAAACAATTCTCTGGGAGTTATTTTTAGTATAAGTTCATTCAAAAGAAACAAAATAGCGTGGTTTATTTTTTACCCAAGTTCAGAATATGTTTTGTTTTTGTAATATCATTCAAATGTAGATAACAGTCGGGTGCTATATGAAATTATGAGAGGCTGCAAAGAAATAAATGGAATCACAAGTTGCATGGCTACAGTGCCCCACTTGCTTCTTCATTATTGTTAAAGGGTCTTTATTTGTATTCTCTTTTGTTCATTTCCACAAAAATAATAGGAGACCATCTCTTTCATCTTTACATTTGTATTGAGTAGATAACCTAAGAGATTACATCATAGTTATTTGAAGAGATATGTATGCATCATGTGTAACGTTTCTGACCATTTATGTTCGTGGAAGTAAACAATGCGAGTGTTGTATGTTTATGTCCCTATGTTCAACATTTTTATGTCTATACTCTTGGTTTATGTATGGGTTACTCATACTAACATTACGACATGGATCATGCATTCATCCCATGCCTAATTTTCAATTTCAAAAAATTCTTAAGGTTTGTTATCTGTTTTTGTAGATACCAAATCCGTCATATGTGTTTTTATTTTAACTCGTGTTATATATGAAATCATTTATCCTCAGAGCATCCAGTTCAAAATTATTCTAGGCTAACGTGGAGCTATTTTTAAAACTATTAACTTAAAAAATGTACAATTAATCGATCCATATATACACATATGAATATTGGTATAGATGAAAACCAACGAGATCTGAAAATCTAGGACAATAATTAGTAATATATATCCTGAAAACAAAATGTGCATTCAGAATTTTGTGTTTTAGGAGATCAATATATATGAATCGAAAGCATGTTATTTCAATTACATATATATATATCAAGAAACTCTATATCTATATACACCGGTTCTAGTGATCAGGGAAAATGGTATTGGTGGGAACATGAGTCGTTTTACATGTGAAATTGTTTTTTTGGGCTACTAATACAATATAAACCATCAAGTTAATTTGGCAAGTAGGTAAAACTCATCCGTAATCGAAAGTCTTTCATTTCATCTCATAATGCAAGTTGAACCACACATCCTCTGATTCGGATCACCCAACTTAAGCGGTGAGTCGGTGACCATAAACTTGACAAAGAAAACCAATCCAACGTATTCAGTTGGGACTAAGTTAGTTCCATCTTCCCTAACATGCAACAAAATTATTATAAATAGGTATCAAATTCATTGAGATTTGTATTTGTTGTAGTTACGACTAGGCCACTTCACGTGGCTAATTTGTAAGGTTTGACATAAATAATCTCTAAGATAAATTTTATTTAGATTACATCTTGATTGATATGTTGTCTTCACATTTTTTTAAAGAAAAATGGTAGTTATTATATATATATTTGAGACAAGTAAACTTGAGAAAATGCAAAACGTATAAAAGAGGATAAAACAATGTAAAGGGGATAGCTTAAAAGTTGACATACACATAAAAACAATAAGATATGTTAAGTTTGAATGAAAGCGTAACACACATGCCAAATAACAGCTGTGGTAATAAATTTTTAGTCGTCTGCGTTCCATTGTCTTGTCTTGCATTCCGATTTAGTTGGTTTCATTATCTATATTTTCTGTTACTAATTTCTTCTATATCTTTTGTAAAATATTAAAATCGCTAAATAATTTTTAATAGTTACTAATTTTAATTTGTAAAGGGTAACTGTATTAATTTTGTAAAAGTATAGTGTTATCGTCATTAAAGATTGTTTCACGCAAGTCCCAATCAACAGATCAAACTATCCTGTAGTGATACCTTATGGATGCCTCTTATTAAGGTGTTTAAAAGGGTTGAAGTACTAGATATATCAAATTTGATTCTTGTTACCAGATATTTATAAGAATAGAGGAGCAACTGAGTATTGACTGCCACTGACAATCTACGTCTATATCACATGAAATATAGGGGACTCATATTTTGTATGATAAACTTGCATTTTCTGTAAAAAGTTATTGATATTAGATGTATATCATAAATGTAATAAATCAAAAGTCAGATCTTACGAAAAACCATGCCACAATCTAAAAAGGAGTTAAATCTACGAATCTATGTGGTCCTCCAAAAACTACCACTTGAAGTTGTAGTTAAATGGTATGGACATAATATCCAATAATTAAAAGAAAATAATAGAAATTATATCTCACAAATATACGTGAGTTGAGATACACGCATATGTAATTTTGATTGAAATGTTTACATAAACGGGAAGGACTTAATAATAATACATATGATTTCTAAATATTAATATTTAATAACTTAATTAAAAATTTAAATGGATCAGTTTTAATTAATTAATTAATTTATAATTTTGATTTTATTAATTTTTGTAAAAAATAGATTAATTTGTGGGTTTCTATATATGATTAGCTCACATGAGTTAAAAAAAAAAAAAACATAGATATAGAAGAATGACAATGTAAAAAGGATATGATAAATTATCACATGTAATAAGAAAATTCAAGATTTATGTATCAGCTTAGATCAAGTGTAGCAATTAGTATCTGCATTAAGAGATTATGCGCACATATATATACATCAACTCATTTTTATATGAATTTACTAAATTCTTAAATCGTTGTCAATACCTCATTTGAAAAAAAAAATTGTATGGATTGAAAATATAAGGTTTGTTTGTTTTATGCTAAATTTGTTGCTCCATAAATAAAATATTTCCTAAACCACTTTTATATGAACACTAGTTGATTTTTACTTTGACAATAAAAAGACTACTGAAGTATCAGACTATCTTATTAAATTATCTAGTGTTTTCTTCTTTTGAAATAATTTTATAAATTAGGCTTGCTAAGCAACAAATTAATTTAAATAAATGCGTAACTGTTTTCATGATAATACTTAAATAAATACATTCCCATTTTTTCTTGGATCAAGTGGAGATGTATTGGAACGTGTGTGACGCACGAAGCTCCACATTAAACGACTTTCTAAGTTAACATATTTGCGTATACCTCTTGACATAACTTTTATAAACCTCTATTCTAGTCACCTAATCATATTCTCTTCTCAATCTCTCTAAACAATGTATTTCTCTCTTTTAAGCTCACTGATTTCAACAATGTATTTCTCTAATATTCAATCAGCCTTTGTCGCGGGACGAGCTATCTCGGACAACGTCCTCATCACGCACGAAACCCTTCACTTCCTGCGCACTTCAGAAGCCGAGAAACGTTGCTCAATGGCCGTTAAAACGGACATGAGCAAAGCGTATGATAGGATTGAGTGGAGCTTTGTACGAGAAGTTCTGGATATGTTTGGCTTCGATGCTGTTTGGATATCTTGGATTATGAGCTGTATCGAATCTGTCTCCTATTCCTTTCTCATTAATGGAGCACCTCAAGTAGCAGTCAGTCCTTCCCGCAGCCTCAGACAAGGCGATCCGTTGTCACCGTGTATCTTCATTTTATGTACGGAGATTATCTCTGCCTTATGTGAGAAGGGTCAAAACGATGGATCTCTCCCTGAAATTAGAGTATCTCGGGGCAGTCCTCCCATTAACCACCTGCTCTTTGCCGACGACACGGTGTTTTTTTGCAAGTCAAAGCCATCTTGTGTCTCAGCTCTAAAGAAGATTCTGGCGATCTATGAAGCAGTGTCGGGACAGAAGATTAACCCACAGAAATCGGCTATTACTTTCTCAGCAAAAACTCCTCAGAGTGTACGTGATAAGGTTAAGGAGACTATGGGGATTGCAATGGAAGGAGGTATAGGGAAGTATCTCGGTCTTCCGGAACAGTTTGGTCGCAAAAAGAGAGATATCTTTGCTTCTATTTTACACATGATCAGACAAAAAGCGCATAGCTGGACGTAGGCCTGGGCATTTTACCCGGACCCGAAGACCCGAACCGGAACCGACCAGAAAATACGCGACCCGAACCCGACCCGAAAATTTACAAGTACCTATTGGGTCTAAATTTATTTTACCCGAATAGACCCGGACCCGAAAAGAACCGACCCGAATAGACCCGGACCTGAAAAGAACCGATCCAAATAGACCCGACCCGATAAGAACCGATTTGTATCCGACTTATAAACATGTATATGCAAAACTATTATTTTGTGTTATGTTTTATATATCTATACTATTTTATAATTTAGTTGAAATATATTTTATTAACAATATTTATTATTATTTGTAACATTTTTAAGTAATATAAAGTTTTAAAATGTAAAATTTAGCGTTTAAAAATGTTTTCTTTAATTATTAATAGTTTAACTTAAGTTATTATATAAAATTTTAGATATATATGAAAATATTGAGTGAATTTGAGTGAGTTTGGGCATGTTATGTATTTTTTAGATTCTAAATACCCGGACCCGATCCTGACCCGATATGGATCCGAAAATTACGGGTATTTTACAGGTATTGAAACTATAGACCCGAACCGACCCGGACCAGGTAAGACCCGACCCGGAACCGACCCGAAAAATCATAGGTACCCATATGGGTCTAAATTTCCAAGACCCGAAAGACTCGGTCCCGACAGGTTCCGACCCGAACCCGACCCGAGGACCCGGATGCCCAGGCCTAGCTGGACGGTGCGGTTTCTCTCCGGTGCGGGGAAACAAGTGATGCTCAAATAGTACTGGCGGAAATGCCGTGTTATGCCATGTCCTGTTTCAAACTCCCGCTCTCTCTATGTAAGCAAATCCAGTCACTTCTTACACGTTTTTGGTGGGATGCAAACCCGGAAAAGAAGAAGATGTGTTGGGTTGCTTGGGATGAAATGGCAATGCCGAAGTATGCGGGGGGACTCGGCTTTCGCGATATTGAAACTTTTAACAATGCTTTGCTTGCGAAAATAGGATGGAGATTAATGAAGGAACCACACTCTTTTGTTGCTTAGGTCTTGATGGGAAAATATTCCCGGAATGAGACATTTATGAACTATCCAATACCGACCACGGCGTCCCATGGCTGGAGAAGCATACTTTCCGGAAGAGAAATCCTTAGAAAAGGACTTAGCTGGGTGGTGGGCGATGGCGAGACTATTCAGGTCTGGAACGATCTTTGGTTATCTTTTGAATACCCAAGCCTTCCGCTGGGGCCACCCACTCTAGCTCAACAATCTATGCGGGTTAAAGATTTACTCTGTCCGATATCAAATAAATGGAACCTAGAGAAGACCAGGAGCGTCTTTCCTCAGCATGAGGACACTATTTTGCGCATTAAAACAAGCACAACCCAAGCTCCAGATACTGCGGTTTGGCTGCAGGAAAAATCAGGGGAGTACTCCACAAAAACAGGGTATGGTTTGGGTATGACGACTGTTAAGCCACGAAGAGAAAACGATGACCCTATTAACTGGCTGAGAGATTTGTGGAATGTTAAAACAAGCCCCAAGATAAAGGAT